AGGGGGTGTGAGTGTAAGGTTATGGTAGGGGGGAGTATGTGGGGGGGCTGCAGGAGGGTGTGTGTGTGGTGGGGGTGGGAGAGTGCAGGGATGCATGTGCATGTGGGGGAGGGGAGGTCCTTGGTGTCCCCGTAGTTTGCAAGTCCCTGGAGCTGCATGTGGTGGCAATGAGTGGGGCCAGCCTTGCCCAGCCCCATAGGGTGCAGCTTCTCATGCTCCCACCCCAGTCCCTGGCTGCACATGCTGGTAGTGTTCAGGGCCAGCCCCACCTGGCCCAGTAGCGCTCCTGCCCAAGTCCCCAGCTACACATGGTGGCAGGGTGAGGGGTCAGCTCCACCCAGCCCATAGTGCACAGCTCCCCATGTTCCCACCCCAGTCCCTGGCCACACATGGCAGCAGCGTGTAGAGCCAGTCCCACCTGGCCTGAGAGCATTCCTGCCCGTGTCCCTGGCCACACAAGGTGGCAGGGTGAGGGGTCAGTTCCAGCCAGCCCCATAACACACAGCTCCCCATGCTCCCACCTGAGCCCCCAGCCACACAAGGTAGCAAGGTGCGAGTCCAACCCACTCAGACCTATAGCACACAGCTCCCCATGCTCCTGCCCAAGTCTCCAGCCTCATGTGTTGGCAGTGTGTGGGGCCACTCCCACCCAGCCCCGTAGCATGCAGCTCCTGTGCTCACGCCCAAGTCTTCAGCCACGTATAGTGGCAGTGTGCAAGGCCAGCCCCACCCAGCCCATAGTGCACAGCTCCTGCAGCATGCGGGGCCAGCCCAGCGTGGCCTGATAGTGCATGGCTTCCCATTCTCCTGCCCTCTTTTCCTCAACAGGAGTCCCTGATGCTTGGGGCCCATACCTGAATTTTCACTCGCAGGCAGGGGGCCTGGAAACAGGCACGTGGTAGGCAGGCTCTTGTCTTTAGTGCCCCCTAGCTCAGGGCAGGAGGGCAGGGCAGGTCAGGCTTGGCTGGGGGAATGTTGCTTAGCAATCAGAGCTGCCCCTCCTGCATGGATACGCCAGCTTGCAGAGGGGCAGCCCAAGGCCCCAGGGGCCAGAGGGAATTGCCTGGAGGGCCGCATTTTGCCTGCTCCTGAGATAGTCTGTTCCAATGCTTAATCTCCTCATAGTGACAAAAGTTCTTCCTGATAGAGAACGTACACTCCCTTTGCTGCAATTTGAGACTGGTGCTCCTTGTCCTGTCCTCCTGTGGCCAAAGAGAACAGTTTATCAACATCTTTATTATAATTGCCTCTCAGGTATTTGAAGCCTGTCATCAAGTCCCTCTTCAACCTTTGCTTCTCAAGACTATATAATCCCAGTTTTTTCACCCTTAGCTCATAAATCGTAATTCGCAGCATTAGAAAATAGTGTTTTCTTACCTAAATGTTTACAGTTTCAAAAGCATGCAAGAGATTTAGGAGCCTAAATTCCACTGAAAGTTAATCTTAATCCTCATTCAACATTTTAAACTTGATTTTAAGAATTTCTTATTTGATATAAAAAGGAATCCTTTTTATATTTAGATAAATCAAGCAGCAGACTAGATTTTTATAAAATATTGAAGAATAACATGTTAAAAACATGCATGATAAATTTCATTCCCAAACACTTAATCCTTTATTTGAACATATAATCAGGACCTGACAACTTGGGCTCATAAAGATTGAAGGCATTGCAAACACTGAATAATGGAAGGAGGCAGGACACAACACAGGTTATAAACAGATGTCTCATTTAAAGCAGTTTGGATTGGTTTGGTTTTGACTTGTATCAAAACAGGAATGGCACAGGCCTTATACACACAGCCTG